CCACGGGTATCGAAAACAGGATTCTAGCGTTGTAAGTCCGCAGACATCCGCTGTGCCACTGGGGGGCACTTTAATAGAATTAAAAAGTCTTTCATCAACAATTTAAATATATTTTTTAAAAATTCCAGGAAATTAATGCTTTATGTTAATAAACACAGATGATGTTTGTTGATAATGTTATTCATAAAAGTTACCAGTTTTGCATTAAAGGAATCCTTACAAGTTGTATACGTTTTTACTTGACAACACATTTGTACAATCTAGCCAAGATGTCTTTCAACCAAAATAGGAAATACATATATGTGGATGGTAACTTCAGCCAGCAAGTTGTACATTTATATTTATCAGATTTTGAATTTCCATTCTTAACAAATCTTAATAAGAGGGGGCCTGGCATGGTGGTTAGAACACTCGTCTTGCAATTTATGGGTCATGGGTTCGAAGCTCGTCACTGAAAATGCTTCCCGTTTTAGCCGTAGTGAAGTTATAATGTGACGGTTAATCCCACTATTTGTGGGTAAAGTGGAACCCAAGGGACATTCCCTTTAATATATCATTTCAAAATCATACACAGCTAGCACTAATAGTCGTCGTGTAGCCTTGCACGAAAGTTAACAAACAAACTTATTTAGAAAGATTACAACCAAACTATGTTGGAGAAGTAACACTGCACTAAGTTTCGTTAAGTCACCTCTACGTTGTTTTTTTTTTCAGAATGTCTGACAAATATATAACATATTATTCTAAAGCTTCTAGAACGATAAATATATTAATGTTTTCGAGAAAATACCAATTTAGAAAAATTTGAATAACAATTCGAATTCAAATTAGCGACTGGTAACAATTTGGGATAGTATATTCGAATAGTTGGATTTAACTGTCAGTCTCATAACGCACTCACGGCCCTAAAATGTAGAACACGATTTTGCGGCAACCGGACATGAATCACCGGATTCACACTCCAGCAAACTAACCAGTAAACTACTCCTGGCCCTAGTGTTCTAAGAGAGAGAGTTATACGAGAAAATTGTAGGGTTACATAAAAATTTCTGCTGCACCAAAGGAGTTGCAAAATTTAATATTCAAGCTATCAATTATACTTTATATTTCTTTAACATACAACTGAGTGAAAGCCACTATCTCGTAATCACGTTTTAGAAGGGCTAATGCTAGCCAAAGTGAGGGCTATTTTGCACTGGAAACTCAGAATGTTAAAAATTGAACGATTACACTCACTGTTAAAACCTGCACTGAAGCGAATTAAAGAACTGTTCACGTAACCAACTCTCGAAATATATCAGCAGTATAATTAATCACACTATTTGTCAGTATAATTAATCACACTATTTGTCAGTATAATTAATCACACTATTTGTCAGTATAATTAATTATGTATAGTTAATTCAACAAATCACGAGCATACCTACATACACAAGTTTAGATTTGAATATTTGTTTATGACACTGATTTCCATTTCACTATATACTCATACGTATCTATTCGTATTTTTTCTCATGTGGAAATATTGATTATCAAAAGTACGTGGCACAATATTCTTATGTTAGGTAATGAGCACTTTTTGACGATAAAAACTGGTTAGCCCATTTAATTACAAGCACCAGTTTTATCTCTTTGTGTTATTTACTGACAATTTCAAACTTCATTACTTGTTTCATTTCGAAAAATATGATACGTTTTTACTTTCTCGAGTCATCCATATGTGATGACAGTACAACGTTATAAACCTTTTCTTTCTATCACACCTACACAATTTCAGTTTTATTGCCGAAATACAGACATTTGTGATGTGATAACTACCATCCACTTACCTTCTTTTAATCCTGTTAGTAGAAACGTGCATGGGTCACTAACTTGCAGCAATGGTAATCTATATGGTAGGATAAAAACTGGACTACATATGTTACTGCAAGGACCACTAACCTGAACACTACAGGTGGACCCTACTGTAATCTACCTGGACTGGCGAAACTTCATCACGATGTATACGCTTGTAACTCGACCCTATAGTAGCTCCTGTCTTGCTGGTATTTTTTTCCTGAATTATATCCAATAAATCCACTACATATTTTAATGCTGAATTTTGATTTACTACGAATTCAAATTTTCTCTTTCTGTATGGAATTATGCCTTTTATTAATAACAAGGGGGAATACTCGTGATTCGCATTCGAAACATTTGTTTTGATTTTGTACTTTTGTATTTGAAAACACAAAGTTAATAAAATATAAAGATAAGTATTTAAAGTAATTAAAACAGTTAAGTGGCCTGTCTAGACTACCCACGTAAGAAGTTAAGTACTTAGAGTTATGAATAAATCTGATGGCCGTGCGGGGCGTCTCAATGACTGCGAGGTTAAACCTAAGTGTGGTAAACCTATTTCACAATACATGATACCTACCATACACCTCTAGTAGAAAAGACTCTTTGAGTCGAATGGTATGATCAAAAATGACAAACCGATCGACATATCTAGTAAGAGACACCATATCTACTGACGTTTTCAAAACCTGGGTATCAAGGGTAAGTATTAAACTCAACAAAATGACCCTACACGTACTCTAAGTGTCAATGAGCAAATAAAGAAATTCAAACACAAAACACTGCTGTCTGAGATGGACCTCTGAGAGATGAAATATCCATTCCTCAAATAACTTTCCTTTTGCAATGCATAGTACTATCTACACCCACCCCTCTCTCACGCATATGGTGACGTCGTCCGTACTTCTCTACTCCTAATTTAATTTTTTGCATACTTTAATAAAGTTTAAAAAGCTTCCCACGCCCGTATACGCATGGTACTCGTTTAATTATATAGTGTTTGTGTATTAAACTTTAAATATTTGAAAACACTTTCCAAAAAAAGGAAGTAAATGTAGGGATGGCTAATATCAATACTTCAAAAGGAATACAAACAAGATAGTAGGGATGGCATTTACATCATTTCTACATAATAGCACAGGCACACAATGTAGTGGAATGTTAACAAACAAAAATAGGATAAATTAAACTCATTTGTGATTGAATAGTTATATATATTGTTATATGTTCATTCTTGCTTGTGCTATTATGCAGGGATGATGTAAATGCCATCCCTACTATACTGATAACATTCTTTTTGAAGGATTGATATTAACCATCCCTACATTTACTTCCTTTTCTGGAAAAGTTTTTTCTTTATTTGTTTACTTGTTTTTTATTGCAGTGTTTCAATAGACATAATAATGTTGTATGTAAAACCAAGTTTTAAATACAATGAGGTTCCAACTGTAATATTTACTGTTTATCTATTACTGGTTGGTAATTCCTGTTTCACCCTGTACTTAAGCTTTTTATAGGAACACCAAATTTCTGTAAGAAAGCTAACTTCAAAGGGCAATGATAACATCGTTTACACAAGAATTATGTTAATAATACTTATAAAAGCGGATACTCAGTTTAAACCTATATCACCTCAGTGAAATGGGTTGACACCATTGTTTTGGTTTTTAATTTATCATGTAAGAAAAAAGAAAAACAAAAATTTCAAATTTTTTTCTATGATATTTACACACATTCCCAGAACTTGTGACTTAGTCATCACATAGATATTGTTATAAAAGGAAACACTGTATAGCATTGTAAAGTTCTGATGAACTATTGAGAAGATATTTAAAATACCATTTTGATTAACAATCTGAGCCATCCCTACATAGACAGTGCTGCCAACTGCCTGATTATTAATTTTTTTGAGTTTTGTTTATTTCATTTCATTGTACATTATTGTGCATAAGAAGTTGACTGG